GAGAGCTATGGAGTGGTGCCCTGCAGGGATCTGTACGGCAACTGACCCTAGTCGACAGATTCATAAATAATCTGGAAGACAGGGTCAACGGTGACGTGGCAAAATTTGCAGATGATACTAAACAGCTCAGGGCTGGGGAACCAGTGGTGGGGGCGGGGGTGGGCAGGAATGACCTCCCCTGGTCCAGCAAAATCCCTCATCTGGGACCAGTCAGGTCCTGAGGGTGCCAGACCAGGGAGATCCAACATATACTGACAAACTTCTTCCCTTGGTCCTGCTAACCCTTGCCTGGGCTCTCTGTGCAGCTTTAATATGTGTCTTTTCTTTATAGCAATTCTCACTGTGTGTCAATCTTTTCTTATTTATGCCTGTTTCAAGAAAAAAGATTCTTTTAATACAATCTCCAAGCGCCAACTGCTGGGTTTCTTAACATAGTTGCCCTTTACTTTGCAATTAAGCAGCTACAGGTTGGACCTCCATGGTCCAGCTCCCTCGGGACCTGACCAGTCCTAGACAAAGTTGTTTTCCAGACCAGGGAAAGTCAGGGGGGACAGACACCAGCCTTTCCTTTGGGCTCCTCTCCCCAGCTACCTGCCACTGCTGCAGCAGCCCTGCAAGTTCTTGTAGCCCCTCTGGTCCCAGGAGCTCTGGTTGCGGCCCTACTAGTGCTTGAGGCCGCGCCAGCTGTGGGCTCTGAAGCCTCCCCGTCCCCTTCCTGGCCCTGCCAGCTGTGAGCTCTGCACAGGGCAACCTACAGCCAGTCCAGCTGGAAAGCCAGTGTGGAGAGGGGCTGCTAAAGTCCATTGCCCAGGGGGCCTGGCCCTGCTGGCTGGCTCTGCACCCAGCTGCTGGCAACTTCTGTGCTGGAGCTTTCTAGTCCAGCAACATCTGTGGTCCTACTGGATCATGGATGCTGCTAGACCAGAGAGTCCGTGGGCCACAGAGATTCAACCTGTTGTTAGCGAACTGAAATTGTTGAGCTCAACTGAGAAGGAATATTAGTATCTAGAGCCAGGCAATTTGTAATAAGGACTTATTGGAAAAAATCAGTCCTTTTTTTTCTCATAGAGTATCCATGGTTCCTTTGCATTTGTTATGCCATTGGTTTTCTTTAAAACACTGCTATTGTTTGAAATTGACAGATCACGTCTCTCTATTTGTTGTTCCAGCTGTGTTGCTTTCCTGCAAATTGTCAGATAAGTCACATGATAGTGTTTCTGGTCCCTGCTCAGATGAATGCTGAAATATTTCTAGAGCAAATACTGATGAATGCAAAATTCGCTTTCATGTGGAGGAGTATTCTTGGCCCCTGAAATTCACTTTCACGAACATTTATGCCAGGAAAACTCTGCTGTGCTGAATATTTGAGAGAAATAAACATAAAAGGAGTGTGAACATGGGCAAAGCTAAAATGTGATTTTTACAGTAACGGGATTTTTTTCCACTAATGTCCTCTTAACTGTTATTTCTATTGTGTTAGCAACTAGGGGACATCAGTCATAGGCTTTTGGCCAGGCTCTGCACAAACAAAGAACAGAAAGACAGTCCCTGCTCAGAGGAGCTAATACACTAAGCATAACACAAGAAACAGAGAGGGTTAATGGTCTTGATTATACTCAGCTGGCTCCCAGGCCTGGGAGGGGCTTCATTGTGGGTTGTGCAGGTAACTGTGTCACCGCTGAGATTTTCAGTGGTGGCACAGTTATCCTAGCACACAATTTTTAACATCCCTAGCGGTAATGCTGTGGTCACTCATATATTTCAGAGCATTAGAGAATCATTAAAGATTGCATAGCACTTTTTGCATAGCCTTACCTAAATCTCACGGGGGAGGCTACCGTTGCAGCAGCCTCCCCCATTGCCTGCAGTTTCAGTTGGGTACAGCTAATTCTTTATTAACCGTTCTAAACTATCCTATGACCCACCTGTTCCCAGATGGGGAGGAGTGATTTGTCCAGCATATCAGTTTAAATAAGAGGTCTGTTCTTGGGAGCACCCAAAAATCCCATTGAGAGCTAGCGGGGCTCTGGACTTTGGAACTTGGACCACTTTTATTTCAGTTCCCAAATATGGAGTTAGGTGTGATACAGCCTGAAGTGCTACTGCTAAAGAAATAGATCCTCATCAGCTGTCACATTTAACTGTACCCAGGAAAACACGAGCCTCGACAAGCCCATGTGAGGCCAGAATGTTGGCTAACAGCCCGATGTGCAAATGCTAAGAGGCCTTTTTAATACCTTGCTGTTCGAGTGATTTCTGGAAAAGACAGATGGGGAGTTCAGGCAGAGCTAGAGGGTCACTGAGTGTTCTCATGGCTGGTTTCTGAGCAGCTACCAGCCTGCAAGCTGGCAACCCGGGCAACTGTTCAGTTGACATTGAGCCACATCGTAATAGCGTGTGTCAGGAGTAAGTTTGTTCATTTGTATAAGAATTTAAAATGAGGCAAGATGGGCATTTAATTGACAACGATTCTGCAGTAACATCACATGGCAATTGGGTACAGTGAAATGAGGCAGCAGCGGCGACTTGTTCTTTTGGTGCTGTGGACCAGTCTCCCCCTCCTACTCATGCCCTAGTTTCTGAGAGGCCCTGGGGGCTCTGCACTAATACATGGTGCCAATGATAGAGGACATATCAAGAGATCAAATCAGTTTCCTTTCTCGCCTGATTTCATAGCTGAGTTGCTGCAAGAGATCTGGAACTGCCCCCTCAGCCCATGCGCTCTCCATACTCTTTGGAGTATACTCAGCCCCTTGGGGTGCATGGAGGGAGAAGCCCTTACACTTGGGGATGTGCAAGGTCTGCAGCAGGTACCATGTGGGAGCAGAAGTTCAGCAGCTTCTTGTCCTACTGTGCAGTGAGTGATCTGGCCCTGTGTTGGTAGATCACTATGGAAACCCACGTCACCCATACACGTATTTCTGATAAAGAATCAGTTTCCTGCCCACCAGCCTCCAAAACTGGAACTTTATATCTGGAGCTTTTCCAAGCAAGTTAGCTCCACTCCCCAGTTCCAGACCTGCACTTAGAACTGGGCAAGCCTGAAACAGAAGAGGAAGAGTAGCGCCCCCTGGTGGGCTCCCTAGGCATCCCTGTGTGAAATACCACCGGTCATTCATTGTGCTGCCTCCTCTAGGGGTTTGCCTAAGGCCAGGCCCACACTAATAATAACTTTTGCTGGCATAGCAGTGTGATTAGGCAGGGCTGGGAGTTTTGTGTGTGATATTTCTGTGTTGTCCAAAAGCCCTGGTATATCTGCACTACAGTGTGTTTATTGGTATGGTTTATATAAGCTATACCAGCAGAAGGATTTCTCCCCCCCCCATATAAACTGTATCTCCACTAGAAGGGTTTGCTTGCTTAGCTACACTGGCACTGCCAGCCTGGTAGCCTTTTCCAGACCTGGCCTACATCATTGATCCATCCTGTTCAAGGACAAAAGGGAGGTGCCAAAGCCGCGTTGGACCTCTCTTGTTTTGTTTAGTGCAATGGTTCCCAACCTTTTTGGCACCAGGGCCGGCACACCTAGTCACAGACTTCTGACAGATTGATAATGTTTTATTTGCATATTTGTTATTTGCATAAGTCTGTCAAAAGCCTAGCCCACAGAGTCCCCAGTGACCGCCCTAATCCCTAGAGCCTCCTACCCCCCACTGTCAGCTACTGACCCCAGAGTGCCCTGCACCCAATCCCCACCAGTGCAGCCTCCCGCCCTCAGAGCCCCCCAGTGCCAACCCCCCATCCCAAACACCTCAGTGCCAGCCCCCACCCCTAAGAGCTGAACCCCCCTAGTGCCAGCCTCCTCTCTCCAGAGCCTCACTGCACCCAACCCCCAAGAGCCTCCCCCAGTGCCAGCCCCCAATATTAGCCCCATCCCCAGAGTCCCCCAATGCCAGCCCTGTCTCCATAACCCCCCCCTCCCAACTAATTGCTTGGCATCCAGAGCCCCACAGCACTAGCCCCACCCCTGGAGCCCCCAGTGCCTGCTCCGCCCCCCTCTCCTAGCCCTGCGCTGTTGCCCACATTGCAGCAGTTCTGCAGGCTGAAGCACACCACCCAGTGCCTCCTGTCTCTCCTCAGCTATTGGGAGAGGCATGTCCTGCCCCACCTCTTAGCCAATCAGCACCAGGCAGGGGCAGGGTCAGGGTCTCCCAGCCATGCAAGAGCAGGGTGGGATAGCTCAGTGGTTTGAGCATTGGCTTGCTAAACCCAGGGTTGTGAGCTCAATCCTTGAGGAGGTCATTTAGGAATCTGGGGCACAAATCTGTCAGGGATGGTACTTGGTTCTGCTGTGAAAGCAGGGCACTGGACTCGATGACCTTTCAAGGTCTCTTCCAGCTCTAGGAGATAGGCATCTCCATTCATTTCAAGCCTTGGCAGCTCTGTGCTGGGGCTGGCAGGCAGATGTGGTGCTCCTCTGGGTGGCCATCCTGAGTGGGGTTAGTCAGGCGGCTGTTAGGCTGGGGGAGTGAAGTCCTCCTCCTCTAGACTATTCAACAGGCACAGCACAGACAGTAGCAGTGCCCACTAGTGCCATGACCATCACCTAGAGAGCTCCCATCTCTGAAGAGGAAATTCCAACTCTGTCCATTCAGTCTGGGTCATTGGACTGAAACTCCCAGTTAAGTTGTGGGTAACAACAGCACAAGGACCAGGGAAGTAAAAGCTCAGCAGCTGCGTGGGGTGTGGATGTTTATTATTTAGAACTGGTGGTGAGGTGTTGAAGTTAATAAAAACAAGCATTTGTGAGGAAACTGAAGTATGAGAGCTCTCCTCCCACATTTCTGGGCCTATGGGGAAGCCTTCTTGAGGGGGGGGGGGGGGAGAAATACCCACAGAATTCAAGACTTTATATTCTTGATTTTTCCTAAGGTTAAAAAAAAAAATCAGAAAAAACCCTTTCTGTTTTCAAAAGCTCCAAACCAAAACACCACCACAGAGGCCCCGAATGATGAAAAAAAAACTCCCCAGCACTGACAACCTGTTGTTTGCTTGTATAGGGAGCCATGAGTTGGAACAAATGCAGCTCATTCTGGAGACGATTCCCGTAGTCCACGAAGAGGACAAAGAGGAGCTGCTCAAAGTGATGCCAACTTTCATCAGCAGTACCTGGGAAGTGAAGAAACCTTTACGCAAGCTGCTCCCCGAAGTAAACGGCGAAGGTACTGTAGCTTTAAATCACATTTTGATCAGGTTCCTCTCATCCTCATGATTTTAAGAGTAGATCTCCCTGCTCTCCTCCTGTAGGCTGCACATAAGGAACAACTCTCCAAGCCCAAACAGCACTGTGGAGCTGCTGGAAGAATTCCCTCTGACGCATCTTGTCTCCTCAGCAGCTAGGTCTTGTGGTGTCCCCCAGATCAGTAGGTTCCCAGCCCCATCATAAGGAAGGAATCACGTCAGGGCATTGGAAAATGTCTTAAGTTAATGCTTGCTGGATCAGTGTAATTCTGGGGAAATGCTGTAGGTTTTTTGGTATATGATGTTGAGGCACACTGGTAAACTCTTCCCCCGCCTCTTCATGGATCACACACATGCACATATAGAGAAGGGAGAGATGGCTTTCTCCCACCTTTCCATTAAACCTCCGCCCAGATCATTTCTTTTCCCCTTCCTCCCCTGCCCCCCACCCCCACTCTTGCTGGTGGGAAAAGAGAGGTGTGTTAGATCCTAAGATAGAAGTTTTATCTTAATGTCTGGCTACAAGGCAGCAGTGCAGTGTTGTATGAGTAGATACCTTACTTTTCAGAAGTGTAACACTGGTGAAGTATGACACATTGCCACTCTGGTTCCTGGTGAATGCTGTTTTGGCTGCATTTGTATGTGTAACCCTTCTGCCAGGTAGCACCAGCAGCAGCCAGGGTCAGGTTCAATATCTAGGGGTTCCTTTTCATCCACCCAACACAGAACTGGCTTAAGCCCTCACCCAGTAACCTGGAAAATTCACACACACCCCTGGGTGTCTCTGGGAGGCAATGCTTCCCCACTCACAAGCACAGAGCCTGAGAGTAGAAAATAAACTTTTAGTAAAAGAGGGAGAGAAGTAACATGGCATTAATTTGGGAACACACCACAAACAGAGTTCATAACCAAACCAGGAGTAAACATCCCAGCTCGAGTAGGTTGGGCAATGTCTTTTCCTCTTAGGCTCACAAGCCCAGCAACGTAAGTGTCCCATTTACATACCCAACCCTTCTCTGCACCCAACTCACAGTTGCTGCCCTAGGTCAAAGCAGACCAGAGTTCAGAGGTAATCTGAAGAGTTCACCTCCCATCCTGATGTAGGAGGCATCTCACCCACTCCGCTGGTCACTCGCCCCCCATCTGCTCGCTGCTTTCTGGCGCTGCTTTGCTGGCTGCCTGCCAGTTGCTCCTGCTGGTCACTCCCACCGGCCGCTGGCCATGTAAAGGATTTGGCTCTGGGCCAAATCTAGTGATTTCAACTCTTTGTGATTTCAGCTTCTCAGTAATTTTAGCTCTTGGCCCTCAGTGCAATCCAGCCAAAAGTTTCCAGCATCCATGGGAATAATTTAAAATAATAAAGAGACTCCATATGGAGTCTATTTTAGTTTTATCGTTAGATCGGGGGGGGGGGGAGAGAAACAGGTCGAACCAGTCGTACAGCTCATGCCTGGAGGGTGTGTATCCTGCTGGTTCAGAGCTCTGCCCTTCCCTCCAGCCCCCTTCACGGAGTTTGGAAGAGAAAGCCTTGTCCATCTGAGATTCTTTACAATGACAGTGTTTCTCCTTTGAACTGAATTAGACACAATCTGGATTCCCAATAACAGCAAGCATTGGTGGTCATATTTTACAATTCCTATATTTAGGGATAACATGGTTTGTGACCCAACAACAGCTAAATTGGTTACAATAGGCAAGATACCATTCTAAAAGTTGAATGCAGTATCTAGCAGGCCTAAGCAACTGAGTGAACTGTATTTACGTAACCATAGTTGAATACTTTAGAGGTCTAAGAAACAGAGTGATCCACACCCAGGATTCCATTCTCAATTCAGCTGGCTGTAATGGAAGCATTGATTCAGACCCTGCTTACAACTGTGTCTGTTCTGAAGTTGTTATTAATGTCTTTACCCAGAATTTATCTTCAAGTTAGGATAATTTTCTTGTCTCCTTTCTTCTTGGATAACCATGTATGTGCACAGTGAAAGAACAATTCATTTTACCCATGTAGATTTGAGAACTCAGTACCCCCTCTAGTGTCCCAATCTATGGGCACAACAGACTCACCAGACCCCTGGGGAAGGGGGCAGGGCCTCAGGCAGAAGGGGCTGGGCTGGAGCTCAGTGATACCTCAGGGCTCCATCAGTGATTTAAGGGGCCTAGAATAGTTGCTCCTTTTGCATCCTCCTCCTCTCTCCTGCCCTCCCCCCCAGTTAGCATGCTCCCTTTGCATCCTCCTGCTCCCCCTCCCCCCCCGGTTAGCAGGTCTGGTCCCAAGGCAGTTTTTCCAAACCAATGGCTGTTTTTTGTGGGGTTGGAGCAGTAGGTGTATTTACCTTCAAGACTTGCCTGCCTAGAATGACTGGTAGCACTTAAGTCACGTATAGTACAGTTGGTCCCTTCTGTGGTTAAGGAACCAGTTGAAACTGAGCTCTGTCTCTGTGCTTCAGTGCTGGAAGCAATGGGCCTTTGGCAGGACAACTTCATGAGCACTGGCAGGGAGTGGATGCCAAGGCCACCTCTCTGTTTCTGAATACCATGTCTTGGGCTTTGCATTCATATTGCCGGATGAAAAAGAAGGCAGCTTACTGGGTTCTTATTTGAAATCCATGGTTCACCAAGCCCTGCTGAAGTGCTGCCATGGGGCAGTGTATTTTCTCTAATGCTGGGCTGACTGTGTGGCTGGCATTCCACAGACAAGATCAACATGGACACAGGCAAAGCAGAAACCAAGGTGTGTATATCAGTGTGATTCTGAATTAAAGTAGCCCATTATTGGTCCTTATCAACAGTGATATACTCAGCCTCCTTATTGGAAGTCTGGGTCAGGTTCTAGGCATTAAGTACTAAAGGGATTTATTCTCTCTCGTGATTTATGGGAAGGAATGCCACTTGCCAGGCTTACATAATTGACTGACGTTTTCTTGCCAAATGACTTGAACTCTCAGTGAATTGTTTCATCATGGTCCTTGTTGCAAGCCAATGACCTTATAAAACCACTGATTCCTTCATAATTAATTAACGCAAACAGTGAAATCCTCCAGTGAGAGACAACCACAGGTATTGGTTAATATTTACCCACTGGTATAACAGGTATTGCCCTTCCCTTCCTCTTTGTGTTTAAATGTGAATTCC